TTAACTTTGGCACTCCTGTTCTTTCCAGGAGCTCTGACCGCTCTGCCAGCCGTGTAATCCACACCTAAGTTGGTCACCCGAGTGCAAGCTGGATCGCCGACTAAGTCCCCGAGCTCAGCCGAGAGCGCAGCCGAAATGTGCTTGCTGCTGGAGACCATGCCAACCTTATCCATAGCCAGCTTGCACTTGAGCGTCGACGTGATCACCGAGTGCAGAGCTCTAGCACCTGAAACCAAATGCTTCAAAACGAAGCTGGGCTTGCCAGTCGCGCTGAGGCTCAAATCATCTACGTAAACATCAAAACCGGGTCCCCTCGGGATGGAGTCGGAAGCCTCCAGAGCGAACACCCGAATAAGGCTCGTCGCGAAGGTACAGCCCGCGACGATCCCTCTCAGGGCAAAAAAGGGGGCCGTCGACAATTCCCCCCAAAGTCATGAACCTCGCGCAGGAGTAGGCGTGAATCGCGAGGCGCGCGATGCCCAAGGGGAACTGATGCTGCTTACACTTGGCCCAGAGAAAGCCGAGGTCGATATGCTCGTAGTACTTACGCAAGTCCCAAAAGATCGAGGCACTGACCTGACCTCTGACCGTCCCCGACTCCGCTCTGAAAGCCTGCCTCCAGACCACGTCCCCCGCCCCACGGTGGGCCCCCGCCGCCCAGTAAGGGCGGCTGTGCTGGATATCCCAACGAAGAGCTTCAAAGCGGCGGCACCTGCCCCAAACCCGGTACCAGCTCGGAAAATCCCAATGGGTCGGAAGCCCCCACAAGGCTTGGCCAACAAAGCGACCAGCACCCAAGAGAGCTGGACAGGCAGGGACCCCCGTGGCCTCCATGACCGAGAACCACAGAGACAGGGCCATCAGAGCCTCGTCAGGGAGCAGGCTGAAATGACGGCAGTGGAAGCCGTCCAAGCTGACTCGTCCTCCTCCTCCTTTTCCTCGTCCTCCTCCTCCTCCTCCTTTTCCTCCTCCTCCTCCTCCTCCTCCCCCTCCTCCTCCTCCTCCTCCTCCTCCTCCTCCTCCTTCTCCTCCTCCTCCTCCTCCTCCTCCTCTTCCTCTATTGGATGTTTGTTATTCGTATGATAGTTTTATGTGTTGAAAAGTCACTATTTGTCTCTGCTGCATTGTATTTTTCTTTCTATTATTTCCATTATTGTTCTGATTCGTACTATTGCGATGGTTACTCCTCCTCCTCCTCCTCCTCCTCCTCCTCCTCCTCCTCCTCCCTCCTCTTCCTCCTCCTCGTCCTCCTTCTCCTCCTCCTCCTCCTCGTCCTCTTTCCCCTCCTCCTCCTCCTCGTCCTCCTCCTCCTCCTCCACCTCCCTCCTGGTCATTCCGCCCTCTCATTTCCTCACGTTGGCCATCCCCGCTCGGGCGCGGCGTACCCCGTCTTGCTGGGCAACGATGGGGGGGGGGGGGGGGCGACCTGGCGCCAAACGCTCCCTCTGGGGGTAGGAGGTCGTATAGGGAATGCCGTGGTAGATGGACACATTATATCCGCGTGTAGAGTATACTAAGTGTCGTCAGGCACCTCCTCATGTGTGAGCAGGGGGCGGGAGATATTTAGATGCGTCGGTAGTGGGAAGTCCTTTACCATACGGTTAAAAGGAAACAGTGAAGTAGCACTCCCCCCTTCACCCGCAATTCAAAGTGCGGCGTATCACTGGTCCGAAACTCTAACTCTGAAGATCCGAACTCAACATTGTATTCGGGGGATGGGGTGATTCAAATCATATGAGACGCGTGAATGTTGCTTAATTGTTTCCGACACCAGGCGTCGCATGGTGTACAGCGTACCCCTTGCAGGTTGGGCCGCCTTGGGGCCGTCTTGTTCGCCTCGACTTCTGACCCATTCTCGCAACCGCACCCGCACCCACACCCATACCATACCCGTATCTATACCGAGTTATCATACCCGCACCATCGCCCACGCTCACACACCCATACCCATACCCATACCTTGCCCATGTCAGTACCCATTACCATACATCCTCATTCCCCGACATGCAGACGCCCATCGTCGTCGTCTTCGTCGTCGTGGTCGTCGACGTCTTAGTTGTCTTCGTCGCCCCCGTCGTCGTCGACGTCGTCATCATCATCAGCAGCAGCACCACCACCACCACCGTCATCAGCATCATTATCATCGCTGTCGGCATCGTCATAATCGTCATTGTCTACACGGTAGTCATTATGGTCGTCGTAGTCATCGCAACCGTCGTCGCGATCGCGGTCGTCGTCGCCGTCGCCGTCGCCGCGCCCCTTCTCCCCTTACGTTCCCTCCCCCTCCGTCCTCCGTCCGCCCTCATCCACCCTCCCCGCTCCCGTATCGGAGGAACGAGTGAGGGGCTGGACGGTGTCCCAAGGCGGCCCAAGAGGGCTCCGAGACGGCCCGGGAGGGCCCCCAGGTAGCCACAAGACGGCCCAAATGTGGCCCAGACCATCCGCATCCCGTTCCCGTGGTTACTGCTGCTGCTGAGCTCGTCGCATCCTCGCTTCGCCGCGCCTCGCCCTCCCCATCCCCTCTCTCGCTCCCCTCCCCCCCTCCCTACCCTTCCCACACACACACACAACACAGCGAGCCGAAGACTCCGAGCGGCCGACCCTACCACCTACTTAAGAGCAGAGAATAAGCGCCAAAGCTCAAGGAGACACGGAACCCCCCCCGCTTCCCCTCACAGCAAAGGCGCCGCTGAGCGCGGCTCCAGCAGGCTTGTCGGTGAGGCCGCGGCCGCATCGGGGCCGCCGAGGGACCTCTTTTCGGCGGCGAGAGGCCGCGTGCGCGACTCCTGCTGCTGCTCATCCTGCTCCTGCTGCTCCGGCTGCTCCTCCTCGGTCCTCCCTGCCTCCCTCCCTCCCTCCCTCCTCCCTCCCTCCCTCCCTCCTCCCTCCCTCTTCGGTCCTCCCTCCCCCCTCCCTCCCCCCTCTCCCCTCTCTCCCGCCTGGCCTGCATCCCTGATGCGCTGCATCCCTCCTCCCGCCTCCGTCCCCGGTGGCGAGGTGGAAACAAGGAAGGAACCGCGGACCTCTTTCGGTCACGTGTCGCCCCAGGTGTCGCTGGCGGCAGCCGGCCGGGCTTGCGGAACACTTGAGACGTCCCAGAGGCATGTCCCCTGTGGGCACGAATAACTGTATCGCGAGGTTCGAGCTGATGCTGCCGAATTGCGCAAGGGAGGATGACCTCGTGAGAGGAGGAGGAGGAGGAGGAGGAGGAGGAGGAGGAGGAGGAGGAGGTTGGAGCGTCTGGGGGGGGGGCAACGCTTTCTTCACATCTACTGCCGCCGAAGCCGCCTGTGGCCAATTTTGCCGAGGGGGGCGCTCGACGGCTTGCAGGGCAGCCCGCGTTGAGCTTTGCGCGGCATCCAAAGCGCATCGAGCACGGGGCCGAGCTTGCGCTTGCTGCGACGAGGGAAGCGCCCGAGCCAGCGGAAAAACGGCTTGCGGTGAGCAAGCGGGGCCAAGTGCGGCAGCGCCGCGCATTGCGCGGCTGTGGCCAAAGCCTTCAGAAGCTCTGCCTCCTCCTCCTCCTCCATACGTCATTCCTCCTCCTCCTCACTTTCCTGCTCTTGTTCTTCTTCCTCGTCCTCCTCCTTCTCCTAATCCTCGTCCTCCTCCTCCTCCTCCTCCTCCTCCTCCTCCCCTCCTCATTCTCCACCCCCTCCTCCTCCTCCTCCTCCTCCTCCTCCTCATCATCATCATCATCATCATCATCATCATCATCATCATCATCATCATCCGCCTCAGCAGCATCAGCAGCATCAGCATCATCAGCATCATCATCATCATCATCATCATCATCATCATCCCCATTCCCGTCATCATCATCAGTAGCATCAGCATCATCACCACAACCATCATCATCACCACAACCAGCATCATCATCAGCAGCATCAGCATCATAATCATCAGCATTGCCACCATCAGCATCATCCGCATAATCGTCATCATCATCAGCATCACCAGCATCATCAGCATCAGCATCATCAGCATCAGCAGCAGCAGCATCACCATCAGAAATAGCATCATCATCAGCTTCGCCATCATTCGCAGCAGCACTATCATCACAAGCATCATCATCCTCAGCATCAGCATCATCATCGTAATCATCCTCATGATCCGAATCATCATAATCACAACCATCATCATCACTTCCACCATCATGATCATCAGCATCAGCATCATCATCAGCATCATCATTACCATCAGCATCATCATCATCATCATCAGCACCAGCATCATCATCAGCAGCACCAGCATCATCAGCAGCATCATCATCATCAGCAGCATCATCGCCATCATCACAATCATCATCATCACGACGACCATCCTCATTATCAGCATCATCATCACCATCAGCATCATCATCAGCACCGGCATCATCGGCAGCACCAGCATCATCGCATCATCATCGCCAGCAGCATCATCATTATCAGCATCATCAGCATCATCAGCATCATCAGCATCAGCAGCAGCAGCAGCATCAGGAACAGCAGTATATTCTTCATCAGAAGCAGCACCATCATCATCATCATCATCATCATCATCATCATCATCATCGTCGTCATCATCATCATCATCATCATCATCAGGGTCATCATCATCAACTGCAACATCACCATCGCAAGCATCCTCATCCTCATCACCATCATCCTCATCATCATCACCACCACCACCGTCATCATCATCATCGTCATCATCACAATCATCATCATCACCATCAGCATCCTCATCATCATCACCACCATCATCATCATTACCACCACCACCATCATCATCAGCATCAGCATCAGCATCATCGCATCATCATCATCACCACCACCAGCATCATCATCACCAGCATCATCATCAGCATCATCAGCTTCAGCATCATCATCATCGGCAACAGCAGTATCATCTTCACCAGAAGCAGCAACAGCAGCATCATCATCATCACCATCATCATCATCAGCGTCATCATCATCAGCAGCACCATCATCGCAAGCATCCTCATCCTCATCATCACC